CAGAGCTTATTGTTAGCTAGGGTCGGTAATTCATTAGCAATTTAAAGAAGGCGTTGAAATTGATTAACAGTAGATTTATATTGGGTGATAACTGAACCGAAAACTGGACTTCTCTTATTTTATTTAATTTTTATTTATTTTATTATTTTTATTTTTATCAAATCAATCCCCCCCATTTACTCGCTTTCTTAGATTTAGTTCGATTAATACGAAAATTGTCACGACTTAATTCCTACTCCTCGTGGGATCGACCCTTACTCGCCGCTACTACTAGTTAGTAGAGGTTAGTTAAGGAAAACTTATAAATTTAAATTTGCCGCGTCGCGACGCGCGGTCAGCCACCTCTTTGTCCATTTCTTCCTCTTGCTCCTTGGAAGTTGCCTCTTCCCCTTTATTGAGTATTAGTGTTGTTCACACTTGAGTTGGATCCATCAAAGTTGTATTGTGGTTGTTCTGAAATCACAGCTTCAACCCTTGTCTCAAAGGTAAGTAGGAAAGATTGGACTTCTCTGAGGGTAATAGCTTCTGACTTTGACATGATAGAGACCATGACTGGGTTATATTCATGGCCAAGCCCTGCTAGAACATGCATGATCTGTTCTTCTTCATTTACCCTTTGCCCTGCAGCTGCCAACATATCACAACAGGACTTGACTTGGTTGAGGTAATCTTTCATAGATAAGCCTCATTTCTTTATGGTCTGCAGTTTAAGATTGTACTGCATGACCTTTGCCTTTGATTGGCTTGAGAAGCCTATGTTGAGAGCATCCCAAATTTCTTTAGAGGTGGTGAGTCCCACAGTGGTGATAAGTATTAACTCAGAGAAAGATGAAAGGAGAAATGAGGCCAAGATTTGATCTTGTCTCACCCAAAGAGCATAATCTGGGTTGAGAGTTGGCTCACTCGATTCTTCCTGCAGATATTCATCCGGAATTTTCTGGTTAGCTGAGATGAAACCAAGCAGGCCATAACCCTTAATGGCTGCAAGCACTTGCTGATGCCAAACAAGATAATTGGTTTCATTGAGTTTTGAAGAGATAAGTTGGCTTTGGGGGAAAACGAGTTGGTTTTGTTCTGGTGCAGGGGATAATATTGAAGATGAAGACATAGCTGAGATTTAGAGAATAAAAAAAATGAAAGGTATGGAGGTATAGAGCCACACAGATCAATCTGGTGCTCTGATACCATGTGAAATTTCCATATGAAACATGAAAAATATTTAATCGAAAAGCTCAGTAATGGAATTTCAGGAATAATTTGATTGAAATACTTCTCAATGGAATTATCTCTCAGCTGCTCCTATTTATACATGAGGTAGGAAGGATCTAGACTAGAGACACCTAGGCTAGGTGAAAACAGAATTTAAATACACATTTTACTGAGGGAAAAAGGTAAAAGGACAAATCTCCTCATTTGTATGGCAGAGGCCGTTTTTCATTTTTGTCTTCATGCATGGCTGCATGCACTGATACATTTGTGTCCTTCTGCAACATGTGATTAATGTGAGTGTGATGTTCTTGTCCCATGTGAGCATGCTGACGTGGAAAATGATGCTGATGTGGAGTGCTTTTCTTTTTACCTACCCTCGGCATTCTTTTTAGCCGAGTCCCTCGAAGAACTACACCTGCGCAGTTGCAGGCTGAGCTCGGTCGAGAGCTTGCGGTTCAAACATTTGCGCACGCTCACCCTCGAACATGTCAAAGTTGATGGCGGGACATTTGAGAATATAATTTCGGGTTGCCCTTTGCTCAGGCACCTAGTCCTTAGTAGTTTTGAGGGCGTTGAGAAACGTTAGGCTGAGTGAGGAGGCATTGCCTAGGCTCAAGCACTTTGAATTGTCTAATTACCAGTGGATCAAAGGGGGTAGCATCAAATTTGATGTTCCAAATCTCGAGAAAGTCATTATCACGGGCCCATGGATTTGGTCTCACTGCCAAAGCACATTATTGTTCTCTCGTCTCGCGAGTTTGTATCTCTGCAATGTGATCCTGTCGAGTGAGTCGCTCGACCTCTTATCGTTCGGCTGCCCCCTACTGTTGCGAGCTTGAGCATACATAATTCCTCCGGTTTCGAGGAATTCCATCTTGCAAGTGATTCGTCAAGTGGTTGAACATCTCAACCAGCGAAACACCGCTTAAAGGAGCTTCCATTTGTTCCCCGAACGTTGTAAATTTTATGTTCATTGCCCCTATTTCCTAGGTGCCGGACACATTCTCTTTCATGACCACTACTTCCAAGAAGTGGCACTCACATGTAAGCCTCTATTCACGTGAGAATGATCCCGATTTTGACGTCAATTGGTGGTTTTTTAAGCTGAGACGAATGCTCAAGGCACTAAGTGGGTCTCGAATTCTCTGAGTCTAAAGAAGGACGGCGGCCCTCTGTACGTGCAGTGCAGTGATGCCGACTACAATCATCTTCTAGGCAACTGCCCGCCTGTGGTGGTGGACAACTTGGACTTCAGTACTAGTAATGTCGCACCGCATCTTGGTACTCGGGCTTTACGAATGGTTTGTTTCGTGTTTGTCAACCGAGGCGTATATCGGGTTGTAGGCTCGTGAGCAAGTCAGCCAGGAACAAGCACATGCTCTCAGAGTTTCAGTTCAACATCTTGCTTGCAAACAAGAGCCTCGGGACAGAGGCCTACTTTTGGCGGCACGATCTAGAGCAAGTGCACGTGAAAACTGACAATGGGAAAATATGGCAGCTCGTGCAGTGGACGAACCTTTCGAAATTGAGAAACAGGACGTATGACGGGATAATGCGCCTTGAGTTGAAATGGAGAGATCAGAAGATGGCTTAAGTATTGGAAACCTTTGGAAATATTAGCGACTCATTGTGAAGGCCAAAACCTGTTGGTCACATTTTTGTGTCTTTCTTTTATAATATTAATCTATTAGTCACTTAGTACCTCACTATGTAAAATTACAAAGAATTAAAGGGTTATATTAGTAAAAGTGATATTAAAATACCTAAGTTAGCTAAATAATATTTATGGAATACCCGAACTTAAATTATTAATTATTAATATATCAATATTATTCGTCCAAACCTCATTACGAAGCATGATTTTTCGTCAAATAGGATTCTGAAGCACCAGAAGCAGCCACGTAGGCTCAGCGCATTCGGTAATTATATATAGGGAGGATGTTCCATATTGAATTATTGGTTATATATTTTATCTTGAACCGATTTTTCAATTTCTTCTTAGACTCCAAGTCCTTGAATTTTATTTGTTACAAAAAAAACTACTTCAATAATCGACTCAATCTCACAACTGTCATTTATTTTTATATTGGTTTTTATTAGGACAATTTGTTATCATACTCTATCTCTCAACAAATTTGTTCCTATACTAAGCTCATGAGTGAACTCCATGACCGGATCGAGCACCGGAACCAAGCTAAGACGCTCTCAGACCGGTCGAACCCGAGCTAAATACTCAAGCCGGTCCACCAAACTCCTTGGAGGCTTAGCCCTGTCTTCAGCCCTTACTTCTTCTTTTGTGAGTTAGCTTGAGCAAATTACATCCATTCCTGCAGCTTGTACCACTTGAGGCTCAGGCATTAAAGAGTTTTGAAATATGTAGATTCTTTTTTTTTTTCCCGAAACGATAGAATTGAAATATGTAGATTCAAAAATCTATTAAACAAACAAGCCATAATATTGGGTGAAATGTGGTTAAAAGTTTGTTAATAATAATAAATAACTAGTGTGTACCCCGTGCGATGCACGGTAACAATATTACATTAACGATATTATAAATATACCTCGAGTTTGAGTCACTCAATGGCGGAAGTAAAAACTGCTATTGATCCTATTTAAAAAGAGGAAGAAAAAAATAATAATTATATATTAAAGTGTCGGGGTCAGACAATGTAAAATTATTTTGTATAAGAGAATTTATATTTTATATTATTTTATATAATAGAATATAAAATTTGTATGTCTAATATTAAAAACACCTATAATTTTATATTAGTATATGTAAAAGTATTCAAAATTTTCTATATTATTTTTAAAAGATATGTAGTCACCTACAACTTTTCTAAACAATTTTAGAAATAAAACATATCTAAAAACATTTGAATTTAACATTATGTAAAAAAAATTTGTAGACTATTTTGTAAAAAAAGCATGTCTACAAATAATTAAATTTAACATCAATTATGTATATGTGGATATGTGTATATATAGACGAATATGTAAAAAACAAATATCTAAACAATTTGTTTAAAATAACTAAAATATTATAAGGCTAACTCGGTCAAAAAACAGGAAAAAAAAAAATATCTACACATTAAATCAGATATAATGTTTCAAATTTTATGCCTAAAAAGAGTTTAAATGAAAAGGAAACAAATCAACACAATATCTATTATTTTGTTAACCTAAAAAATAGAAAAAAAAAGGAAACATCACAAAAACTATCTTGTTAACCTAAAAAAAATAGGAAAAAGAAAAACATCACAAAAACCAACGCGCGATTTTTTTTGATAACACTATATCACTGTTTATTTAATGATCTTAGAGGGAAAATAATAATTTTGGCGGGTATTTAATGATTTTGGAGGGAAAATAATCATTTTGGCGGTTATTCTTTTAATATAACGACAGATTGCAATTAAATAAATTGATAAATAAATTACAATTAAAAAATTTGATAAAAATATAATATTTGTTTGAGATGTGGCTAACAATAAATCAATTGCATTA